TAACACTGCATTAGTGCTGACAATAAAAACAAAACCCAACCTGAAATGTTTATTTTATGATTGTTCAGTGTTGCTCAATCAAATTAACTGATCATCTTGGCTATAAACATTCTTAAGAACATCTCAATAATTTCTTATATGATTATAGCTGTCACTGTTCCCCACGCATACACATATCATAGCTTCCACTACCCAATACTGAAATATTTTTTCATTATTGGTGTTTATCTTCCTTTCTACTTGGTATTTTTATTTGCATTTTTTCTTTTGTTTTTTTGTTATTTCTGTTTCTTTTTTGGTTTTTTACTGTGTTTTTTTATATTTATTTATTTTTTTTGTAATACTCTTTTTAAATGTACGATGAAACTAGATGCAATATTGTAGATATGTGCTGAAAATTCCACACTGTACCACAAGTACTGTTTCTGGAATAAAAGCGAAATTGTTATTGTTATGTTATGTTCCCATCCCACTCCATGATACGAACCGAGTATCTTCCGGTTACAAGGAATGCTCTTATATCACTCAACCACTGGGACATGATTTAATGCCCAATTAATGAATTCTGTATTGTACCAATCTGTGATTTTAGATCGACCACCAGGCAATGTCATCGGTGAGCCTTTACTTTCACTCACGACTTGCTGAACCCCACTGGCAAAGACTTCTCAGAAGAACTCCAGTCAATTTTTTCTTGTAGCTATACACCAGTGAGCATCGGGTTATTCTTCAGAAGTTAGTTTTGAAGGGATTTAATTTCTTTCGTGTATGACAGCAGGTTAAAATCAATTAGAGAAGCTTCAAAAAGCGGGGAGTGCTGGACAGCTGTTTCTTCCACGTTTACGACTCAATTGCAGTAACCACCTACCTGGATTCCAACCCATAACCTTCCGGTTATACGACAAGCTGTTTCCCAATGCTGCCCTAACTGATATCAACCCACGGTTTAACTTAAAAAGCTTTAGTCTTATAAAAACTCAAACGCAGTCTCAGATACTTCATAACTACTGAAAATCATACAATTCGTTCATACCTTGTCCATTCTTTCTCAAACTACTATTTTCCCGGTCATGGATAAATCTTCACAACAGTCACCTTTCGATATCGTAATTATTCAGATCACATAAAATATGTGATCTGCCTGATACCATAAAATGTTATCAAGAAGGCGAGGATACACGCATAACGCAATGTCTTGCTGATTAATAAGAGTGATTGAATAGTACTCCCTTCATCTAGTAATGTCCACGAATTAGTTTACGAATGATAAATTTGACTCCATATGTTCACAGTTAGCCCAAGCAGCTAGATAGCTAACTAGTGAGAAAACAGTTGATTTGAAATAACTTCGCCTTCTGAGCAACCTTAATTTGGATGCATTCCCGACCCCCTCCCAACCGCCAAAACAAGCTAGTCGATCTACCCGTGGTTTCTGGGTCACTTCCATCAACCTAGCGACTACCAATAACTAATGTCAGTGATATCCAGTCAATCAGTTGTCAGTCAGTTCAATAAATCTACATTTTTTCTAATATATTTTATCTCACTCCTGATTCTATAAAGTTTTCAGAGTAACTTTAGATATAGCTATATCTTAGACAATTTTATAGTATGAGTATTAAGAGGTTTTGAGCTAAAGGCTTGCGGGTCGAAAGTTTTGTGTCTTTGTTGTTGTCTCATATAGGATGGGAGTGCTGTCCCCACATTCAACCCTTCTCTTCACCAGATTAACTAGTGGCTAGCTGAGGTTTTGGACTAAGTCAGCCAGAAATCAGCTCCTGAATCACGTGAGAGTGCAGCAAGCCTTCTACCACTAGATTACCAACGTACACGAGTCTTGCCGCCAGATATTTATCCTGTGTACAGAGTTTTCAGAAGAAATAGCATCAGACATCTCGGAAGATGAAAACCATTCAAAAATTCTAGTTATACTGTAACATCGTTAGATCAACATGAAAGTTGACTATGATTTGTCTGGCAACTAAAATACTTCTTATTTCACAAAACACAAACCGTTTCGGAAGGATAAGCTTCTTATTTTAGCCGTGAAATCATGATTTATACATGTACTGATATGATATAACCTTAATGGACAGTGTTGATTCTCTTATCTATGGTTTCAGTATTAGACGACCTTAGTTAAGCCCCAAATTTCTGAGGTTTTGTAAAGGTAAGATATCCTGTATTCTGTCCAATCAAGGTCGTGTGTGTTGCAATCTACCAATAGTGTGTGAATTTCAGTGAAATGCCCACTTTGTTATAGCGTCACTTTATAGAGGTGTAAACTAGACGAACCTACGACCCAATATCACTCCGTCATAACAAATCTACATTAATTTGAAATGTTTTTTCTAATTTCACAATAAGAGCAGTAGACATATAGGCTAGAATTCGAGTAGTTTGTACTGAATTGGCACCTTGAACTCAGTTTGTCCGAACACCCTATTACTAAAAGAACTAAACGGCAGTCTGGGTTTCAGTTCAGTTTGCTATGGCTAGCGAGGATTATCGCTTACTGTTTTGACCATTAAATAACAGCCAGCTTTAAGCTGGCGATTCACTTCGGTTACCATTGTGTTTATTAATAATAATGCAATCTATGAACGATACGGGAATCTCTCAGGTTAGCGAAATTCAGTTCTCCTTGATAAGTCCCCATTGACATCGATCTGGGAAGTGGTATCAGAAAGCTGATCTCACAAAGGTAGTAGTAATGAAAATTTTGGTGTATTTGGTTTCTCTGAAAAGGATATTTTACTCGCGAAGCTTTGACTGTCTTACTAGGCAACATCTTCAGCGTATACTTCAATTTGTTGAATAGTGCTTTTAATGATTCCCCACGAGTTTATTAGTCATCTCTCCTGGTGACCGTGAAAGCGATTGTTTGCTTTTGTCTACCTTCATACTCTCTTGTCTATTTGTATTGGTAGTCATTATTTGCTTGACCTGAAGTCCGAATTTTTAATGCACGGAATTTTCCTCTAATGGATTAGTAAATTATATCTGTGTCAGTGTGCCTATTGATTGTCTTTTCACTGGAATACACGGCTCACAAAATTTCCTGGCATTCATATGATGTCCTCTTTTTTAATATCTGAATGTTGTCCCAGTCGAATTGATGTCAATGGTTGTCTATGTACAGAGCGATGAAGGTGTAGATATCATGTCTTTTGATGTCTAGCTTATGTTCATCGATACGGAGACGTCCACCTTACCAATGTAGTGTTTTTCGCAGTTGATAAAACTTATTTTGTGAATAATGTTGGTTTTATCTTCTTTCGCTGTTGAGTTCTTTGATTAACACTGAGTTGAATGAAGTGATTTTGTTGATTTTTGTGCGACATCAATTCCTAAAAGGTTTGAAGAGTCTTGCAGTGATTTCTGAGAGGTCCTTACATACAGTAAGATGATTTTTTCTATGTTTTCCTTTCTCAAGTATGTTTGAGCTGAAGATTTTGCCCAGTAGGGCATCAAAATTATCCACCTGAGCTTCCTATTTTCTCCGTTACATCTAATAATGAAGATATTTCAAAATCCCCCACAGTGTAATATATCAGGTTAGACAGATGATTAGACAAAAATACTACTTTACAGATACTTTATGTGTGGTCAAAAAGCTGACATTTTAACACTCAAGTGTCATGTGATTGTGATATTTGTAGAATATTTGAATATGGCTAATAAAATATTATAAAAAGTTATTTTTCAATAACTTGAAGGCTTTCTGCATCTCTCTTACAGTTGCTATAGCTACCATAAAAGTCTAGTAAAGAACATAAAAATTATAGTGAGAGCAGAGATTATGTTACGTTGATTATTTGTCGGCTTCCAGCTTAGAAGTTGCAATAAGAGAAGTATCGCTTTTCATGCTGTGGGGTTCCTTAGTCTCATGTCAACCTTTCCTCACAGCCGACGATTACTAGTGCAATAACCAGGAATAGAAGCGAAGTCCTAAGTATCCTCTCCACCGGAACACCGACGAACAGTTATCATACAGATAATGGCACATCAATGCAGAGTTTACCAATCGAATGCCTCCATAGCAATATAGAATAAAATCCGCATTAATATATGTTTAAAACTTGTGCACTGTGGTAGTAAGTAATTCCACATTAGTTTGTATATTAGATGTATCACACAGTGAAACAGTATTATCTACTGGATGATAATGCCTCCAACACTATTTATTTTTCATAATCATATCAACTGTAATCACACGACTTCGAAGCTTGAGTTTTATACTTTTCTTTGCCATCTCCTACTTGTCGTAGGGGTAGTAGGATTTTCCAGGTATCTTGGACCGGTGTTGAATCATTCCTATTTCACGTGTTTGCAGTTGATTCGTTTAACAAATCTACCATTATCAATCTCTCCCTCCACCCTGCTATTACATTAGATTTAAAAATTGTTGTTCTATCCCATCCTACTGTATGGTTGTGTGTTACTGCACATAATGCAATAGATGAACTATTCTCCAAATTTCTTATCTTATTTGGGTCAACCGATCTTGATTTTGCTGCTAGGTTTTTATGTTCGGCTAGTCTGATTGCCTCTGTTCTATAAGTTTGACCCATGTATTTGACTTGACAATCATATGATAAATAAATTTTGTTTTAAAAGCTCTACAGGACTGATCCTTTAACCAACAGAGCTTGTTTGTATTTGAGTTTGTGGGTGGTGTGAATGCCAGTCAGTTTTATTCCTGCCTGGTTAAGAATTCTACGTAAGGTTTCCGAGGTTTCCTCCCGGATATCTGGAAAATTTCACTACCTCTACGACAAACAACAGAAGACTAAGTAAGCTATAAAACTCAAATTTCAAAGTCGTATGATTATAACTGATATGATTATGAGCAGCAATAAATTTTCTTCGAAACTGTGTCATTATTCAGTAAATAATACTTTTTCACTGTGTGATACATCTAATAAACAAACTAATATAAAATCCTCATTGTCGCACATTCTTTAAACCTTGTTCTTCTATGTATTCTTCACATTTAGATTTAACCTCCTACGCCTACAAATGTCCTGATCTACAGACAAAACCGATTTCGATCAGTAAATTGGAGATGATGACACATTTTAGTCGGAAAGAACTACAGCTACTGTATCAAGGCTTTAAACAGGTAAGCGACTAAACATATAATTATTTGTAAAACTGTTTGTGCATGATAGAATAGGTCGGTTAATTTTCATTGAGCAGTAGGCAGTAATTGTTGCCATATGTCTAGCCCTATCAATCAAGTTTTCGTAGTGCATTCAGAATTATTGTCATATGGTTTCCGCAAGATGCCATAGACCTAGGTTTTGTGCTTGTTGACTCTCATCAGGAAAGTCTATCTTCAAAGGTGAATGACAGAAATCAGTCTGCATCAACACCTTCAACTGGACGCGTGATATAATTGGTGACGATCTAACGTCCTACCAAAGTATCCATAACGGTCAAACCAGGGGTCATTTATTATCTGACTGCAGCACTGGGTGACACACGTTTCAATCTAGAAACAAACATGAGTTACTTCAAGGTTGCAGATACGTCCGGCTGATGAGTACTGGCAATCACAAAATTTAGGGGAAATAGGACTTGCTGCCGATTACTCCCAACCGCCTACCATAAGATTTACTATAAATCCAATTACTGGCAACAGTAGAGAATAGACACCAAAGTCAAATGACCTTGAAACAACCAATCAGATTCTTTCAGGTAAAAAGTGGCATAAAATGAATAAAACAAATGGTATTTACAACATAAATATGTAATAAAAATGAACTATACAGGATAAATGTCTCTAATGTGCTGAAAAAACTGGTCCCAGTTTCTCATAGGAGTGATTATAGACATATTAAACCAATACCGATACAAAAACTCATCTAAATGGCTACATCCCAAATCACTTCGGGAACCATTCACCATTCTGATACGTTTTTTGAGGTGAGTCAAAAATCCTTCAATGGAATTTGAATGTGTACTTGTTACAGGATCCACCAATTCGGAAGAATGATGGACTTTGTGGTGAATATAGCTCAGTGATGATGACTGAGAAAAATCCCTCCATTCGTCTGTGTGAATAGTAGTTCTTAGGAGGACCAGTCGTTGCATAATTGATATTAACACATCAGCACTTCTGTTCGAGATGTGTTCAACAAACTCTTTACGAAGATTTGTATTGTAAAGTCTCAGCACCCAAGCATCATTTGCTCTACTCCTGCCTCGATTCATTTTTCGCTTAATAAGTACAGTTTCGTCAATATGCACGACGACGCCAACTCCCCAAAGTACAGAGGTGATCTCATTTAGCTTTTGTGAAGCAAAATCGCGACAGTACTGATACCACTCCACTGTTGAAATCTTTGTAGTCTCCGTTTCTGCAGCTGTAGCAGATACTGGTTGCTTTAGTAGCCAGTTGTGTGGCAGTTATACGCAATATTTTTACTAAAGGACCGTTGCGATTTGGAGAAGAAAGTAACTGAAAAATCACCAACTCTCACAGACTTCCTCACTTAAGAGTGATTGCATCTAAATGCGTAGCCGTCAATAGCTGCCTGGCAATACGTTTGTAGCGTCATTACCCCTCCACATATGCAGGTTGTAGACCTTCCTATCAACCCATTTTTCGCACAGAAGTCAAAAACTAAATCTGGGTGAAACTTGCAACGAAGTTCATTAGCCGCATCCATTTTGAATCGTGAACGATCTGAATGGTTGTTTCAAGGTTATTTGACTTTGATGTCTATTCTTTACTCTTGCTCAATTACTGTTTACATAAAATAATATGTTTTTGACTTTTATCAATAGTTTAAGCAAATCTACCGTTTGTTGTCACGCAAACTGTTGGAATTGTTTTTAATTGCATTACAGTGTTCATAAACAACGACTAAATTATAATAATTATAATTAATTGATGTATTTGCATGTTTTGTACACCATTCATTTATTCTAATGATGACTAGAATCGATTAACGGTAAATACAAGTTTATCTGGAAGATAAATATTCATCTTACAGTGGTATTTTGTTTTGAAATTTGTCGGAATTAGAAGAAGGAATAACATCACAATCTGCTGTTTACTTTATTGTTCCGTTCTAGAGTACAATGTGTTTGAAATAGTTTTAAAATAGCAGATAAGCATGATTTAATCCAATTATGCTTTTCCTAATTGTGGATTATGCATCAGACAGTGAGTGGGAAACGAGAGGACAGGGATATCGTTGACCGACCGATGTGAAGCACCTAGAAGACCTGGATTTCGTGCGTGGATGTTTTATTTTTGATGTCACACAAAATCGAGGAATTACAAGCGAAAACCGACAAACTGGTCGAAGAAGCAGCCAGTGAAGACAGGACTCCAGGTGAACATAGACAAGATCGAGGTTATGAAAATAACCAACCAACAACAACAGCAACATCCAGAGCCCATCACCATCAACGGTAGGGATTTGAAAGAGGTTACTTCACTCATTCACTTATCTAGGGTGCATTGTCTCAACTACAGACAGTCGGAACGGACGAGGATGTCAAATCGAGCGAGAGTCGGGCACACATCGGCGAGAAACACATTCACCAACCTGAAACAACCAATCTGGAAATCTTCTGCTGTCACTCACCATCAACAACGAAATTCGGTCAGATTTTCAACACAAACGTCAAGTCAATCAGTTCTTCTATACGGATCAGAAACTTGGCGGGTGGGTCACAAAGAATATTTCCAACAGCCTGTTGCAGACATTTATCAACAACTATCTTCGCTGTCTCTATACTGAAGATCAGATGGCCGGGCCGGGCGGGAAAGAATCACCAACAAGAAACTATGGGAACACACAAACAAAACAAGAACCAATCACCAACCAAAAATATTCAGGAGAAAGGGGAGATGGATTAAACACTCGCTGAGGAGGCCTTTGGATGACATCGCGCGCGCGTCAGGCCATTGCTTGACTGGAACCAGGCCGAAAGGGAAGCGGCGAGTGGGTCGTCAGTGCAAGGCTGACATGGAGGAGATCGTGTGAAGAGGAGTTGAAACAGTCAGTATGGACTAACATGAATGCAGGTGAAAAGTACAACGGAAGACAGAAGCAAGTGGAGACGTGCAGTCGAATCCCTATATTTAACTAAGAGCCCAAGGGGATAATAATAATCAAATTATAGTTGCTTTTTCTTCAGAAGAGGTCAATTGTGTATGGATCAAATCCTGACTCCACGAATTACCATCGAACAGAGAATATAATGGTAGACAAAACTGGATCTCAGCTTCGTCGACTTTGAAAAGCCTTCAACAACATTCACCATCATCAGTTTCACTCAACAGTAGCATGACAATGCTGTGTGTCAGATAATCCACAGCGGAAACATTACCGAAGCCTTTGAGATGAAAACAGGAGTAAGATAGATAGCCGCCTACTATTACCGATGATTTTCCAGACTGTTGTGAAATGAGAAGACTGCGATCGGTTGGACTGACAAGAAAACTGAAGAAGATTTAAACTTCATGAAAGATTTATGTCGAATGTCACACATTTTCAAAGATCTACAGGTGAAAACAAATAATTTGTCAGAAGAAGCAACGAAGACATAACTTCAAATGAACGTAAAGAAGACAGAGGTAGTGGAAATACTCGATGGCCAACAGCAACTGGCAGTAGTTACCATCAGTGGGAGAAGCTTGAAGGAAATCGCCTTTTGCACTTAACCAAAGCAGTATCAGTTCAATCAAAGACGGTGAGGATGAGTCTGTTAATGATAGCCACATTTAGAAAATCGATAGAGACGTTCATTACTCTGAAATTAGTGAAGAGATCAATTGCCATCAGCATGAAGAACATGATCCGAATTTTCAACACTTATAAGATTTTCGATACTGAAAATCTGATAACCAAAAATTATTGGTAAGCAACAAGAAATTCTGGAAGCAAACCAAACAAGAACCTATTGCTCTAAAAATATGCAGAAGGAAAAGGAAATGAATTGAACATACACCAGGGAATCCGTCAGAGTTCATCTAGTGCGAGTTTCTGGAGTAAAAGCTGAATAGGAAAAGAAAATTTCGGCGTGAGTCTGAAGGTGGCAAGGAAAAGGCTCTGTGAGAAAGAGGTGAGTTTGCCGTCAACCGAGGGGACAGCTAAAGAGAATTGTGGTGAGCAAGATGAAATACGGATTTGCTGTTCCATGTTCCACTCGGAACCTAAAAGAAGAAGAATGGGAAGTAGAATTACATTTTCTTGATTTTTACCTGAGGAGAAAAGCACACGGCTCGCTCAATAGAAGCTTTTATCTGAAAACCACGTCCTTAAGACAATATTTGTATATCTCTTCAGCTTCGTACCCATCCAGTAAAAAATCAATTTGGCTCAGACGTCTCGATAGTTGGGCAGTGAAGATCTTTACCGACGACTCCTTGGAAAATAATGCTTTCAGTGAAATGGAATATCCTAGTAAGTTTATGGGACAGCACATGAGCGATAACGTACGACAAAATTGAAAGCTGTGATGTTTGAAGCAGAATGGTTGCTTCTGAAGCTAAAATTTAGTTGAGACGTCGCTAGTGGAGTTCTAAATCTAAGGTTATCCGGGGCTACACGAAAGGAAATATGGTCTCATCACTCTTTGCTCAACAGTTTCCGGTTTCCTGATTTTCATCACTAAGTTGAAAGACAGACTGTCTAGTTGTGCCAGTTCTATGTGCATTTACAAATTAAAATTCTCAAAACGTGAAATGTTCCTACATACTTCCTATTTAATATATCAGTTTGAAAGCTCCTTCTTTATGCCTCATTTCCTGTCTTAGATTTTCCTTGATACTACAAAGTTTTCGTGACCTGTTACTTGAACCTTTTTCCCAATCCTGTTTCACGGACGTGGTGTGGTCAGACTGCGAATATCGGTTTGAAGGTTTTGTGAACACTAGTGTTTAACTTCCCATCTACTTTTATTTTTAAGCTACAATCTAATACTGAAAGCACCCTTTCCTGACTTTCCAATTCATAAACGAAATGAAATGCCTCCACTTTCGAGTTGAAACACACACATTCAGACAGATATTTGGATTTCCAGTCATCCAACATTATGTCAGCAGAAATAGGATAAGTAAAATGTCTAAGCAATAAGCCACGAAAACTGTGTAGTGAGGTA